CGTCGCTGCAACCCCCCCTGGCTTCTGCTCCGCGGCTGACCCCTCATCTGGGGCTCTCCTCAGCTCTTTCTGGGATAGTGGCACGGTTGCCTCTCCGTTGGTCTTCCTTGGTCTCTTGTGTTCTGAGGGCCTCTGGATGTCTGGAGCCTGGATCTCCTCCATACCTGCTTCATGCCCTGGAGGACGGGGCTGTGGCCCCCCCACACCCTCTAGCAGATCATTACATGAAGGAACCTTTTTAAATACAAGCGCGCTCATGCTCACACACGGGTGCTCCTTTTTGGCTGCTACCTCAAAGCACACTGTGCGTGTCGATTTTACATTTTACATTTTACATTTTACACGTCAACCGTCACTATGGTAACATAAACAAAACATAACTGTAAAAACAGAACCCCGAACAGCCCTGACCCGCTACATAGCCCCCACCTAAGGGGTCAGTCGTCCCCGACGACCCCATTACCCCACACAAAGTCCTGTAAATGTCCAGGTGCCTTCTTTTGGCGCACCGGCCGGTCTTGACCGGCAGGGGAAAAGTCACTTGGGCCAGAACATGGGGTGCCACCAACATCCCCTGCCCCGGCATCTGCCGGAGCGAGCGGTCGGTATGGTGAGAGCCTGTCCCAGTGCAACATCACCATGCGCCCCAGGCCCGGCATGCAGATGCGGTAGACCACTTCTGTTAGCCGCTCCACGACCTCCGCCGGCCTTTGCCAGTGACTGCACAGTTTGGGGGACACTCCTCTCTTGCGGACCGGACAGTACACCCAAACCTTGTCGCCTGGCATGAAAATCCCCCCTTGGCACTTGGTGTCATAGGCTCTTTTCTGTCGTATTCCGGCGTTGGCCTGGGCCTGGCGGGTGTAGTCATGAACCACCTGCAGCCGCTCCCTCAGCCTCCTGTAGTAGTCCATCTCTGGCCCACCATCAATCTTCGGCGCGGGGGGGGGGACCCGAACACCAGATCCACAGGCGTTCAGAGCTCCCGTCCAAACATCAGAGCGGCAGGTGTGCACTGGACTCCTGAACCGCAGTCCGATATGACCAAAGCACCAGGGGCAGATGTCGGTCGCAATCCCACTGGTGGCGGCTGGTGAGAATGGCGAGCTGGGTGGCCAGCATGCGGTTGAAGCGCTCAACCAAGCCATCGCTTTGCGGGTGGAGTGGTGTGGTTCTTGTCTTCTCCACCCCCAGCCGCCGGCAGATCTTCCCGAAGACCTTCGATTCGAAGTTACGCCCCTGGTCACTGTGGAGCTCAGCCGGGACCCCAAAACGGGTGAACATCTCCTCCACCAGCTTCTCGGCCGTCGTCGTTGCGCTCTGGTCCGGCACCGCGTAGGCCTCTGGCCACTTCGTAAAATAGTCCATAGCCACCAACACATACCGGTTCCCTGACTCTGTGATGGGGAAAGGCCCTAGGACGTCCA